ACAGCATTCTTGCCATACCCTTGCCTCTACATAACCCTTTAATAAGTCGACTTTTTGATATTTTGGGTTATGTTGTGAAGAGACAAAAAAAAAACCAAAAAACCAACCAAACCAAAACGAAAACCAAAAACCTTTGTCCTGAGAAGACTGAAACTAATTCAAAAGACAAAGTTACATACATTAATACTGTGAATATCCATGATTTTATTCTAAGCCTTGTGACATTTTTATTAACCCCTGACTTTGGCAAGCAATGACTTTGTGAGAATCTTAGCATCTTCTCACGCAAAACAAGTATTTGCATTGTTTAAAACTTCCTAGCTATGGAACTTAAAAACACAAGAGCAAATTTAAAGAGCAGGGGGCCCTGCTGATTTTAGGGGAAATTAATTATGATTTTTGCAGACTTGAGTTTCCCTCTCAAGAAAGCAGGAGAAAAAAAGAACTAGTCAAGCTCTTGTTTGACGTGATGCAATGAATAGTGGTCAGATTGACGAATTTAATTTTGCTTTGCATACTTCAGAACTTGGTAATGCAAGCTGGCTACTTCCAGACTCAGACATTCCACGGTAGTTTATCAGCCTAAAAAATACCCTGGAATTGCCTGGGCTTCTTTTCCACTGGCTTCCACTTCCCTCCAGCAGTGCTTGCAGGGATATGGCACCAAACACACCTCTCCTTCCCTTCCTCTGGACAATAAGTCTTGGGGCTTTTTTCCTTTTCCCCCTCATTGCTTTGCCCAGAGCCCCATGAAGGCCCCTACACGGTCCCCCATGTATCCTCTGTGCAGGAGAGAGGGCAGGAGGGAGGGCTTTCTTTTCATCTAAGGCATTTGCAACACTTGAGCGCTTTCGGCTCATAGCAAAGCAACACAAGCCGGGCCTTGGGAAAGGGGGCTGCACTGCTTTGAACCGACGAACAGTGTGGCCCAGCCAGAAGCAGAAAGGGCTTTCTGTGCAGTCATGGCATGACATGGACGGACCTTGAAGCTGTCACTAAATCTCTTTTTCAATCTCTCACCGTTTTCGGGGACTCTGTATCCTGATTCTGCCTGTAATACCGATTTCTAGCAAGTGCCACTAGGTGGCTCGAGATTGAACCTCTGCAGGCATCATCCTTCAGTGGGATGTGCGTGTGTGGGGGACAGGAATTTGGGAATTATCCTTGGGCGGTGCGCACCACCCTCATCGCTCTGTGATTTTCAGATCTTGGTTACAGACGCTGAAGAAGAGAAAGAGGCATCCCAGCAAACTGTCTGAAATGGGAACGAGCTCATTCTCACTCCTCATGTGAAATGAAACACCGGGAATTTTCTCTTGATTTGTTCCTTGAGAACTGAGACTAGTGATAGCCTGGAGCCTTAGTAGTAGTCCTTGGAATACCAGTCATGCCATGCTCCCCCAACCCACCCCAAAAAAATGTGTATTATTCTTCTCTTTTAAGCTTTATCAAAGGCAATTGTTACCATCATCAGGACTTATTTTGACCCGAGTTTGCCTCAAGAACCCATCATGGATGAGAGGTCTGAGTCTAACCTACTGGATGAGAGAAGGGCTTTCCCAGGCCCAGCAGATGACAAGGGTGACCACCACAAGCATCAGTTTTATGCCTGTCACACTTCTGACCTGTTTCCCAGGGGTGCCCTGAAGCAATCAATTACTACCCTTTTCTAGCTTCACTCCATACCAAACCTCTGTGTTTTCTGCCCATTCTTATTCACTCTTATTCTAGAGTCCTCCTTGGTTTGTCCTTTCCTCCATGCACGGGGCTTTCTGTGTTAGCCTGCAGCAGGAGCAGGAGCTCTCTTTCCCTCCTATTCCAGACAGTGCAATTCCACAACCCAGGAGGGCTGTGACCCTCTTCCCTTTTCCTCACTGATACCTGTCCGGGCATCAGACCTGCGGTTTGGTACACACCCCCTGCCACGGTGGTGGGGCATCTCCCGCCTACCACCCACCCTGAGCTGCCTCAGCTGCCTGGGGCTCGTGTGAGAGGATGCTGTGGGCAGGAGCTGGGAGGAGAAGGGAAGGCGGGATGCCTTACGTAGCCCTGCCTGGAAAACCTCACCCTGCTGCCTGGGGAGGCCAGGGCTGAGTTAGTCAGGGAGTCAACACCTCAAAGGCAAGGAGGAGGAGGGGGAAAGAGGAGATAGAGGCATTGTTGAGCAAGAAGGTGCAAGTGGGTGCCATCAGCCAGTTGTTTGAACTAAAAACAACTGCAGAGATGCCAGGAGCTGTAGCTATGCTAAAGAGTTGGCCCATCCCCCTCCTGTGGTGTTTCCATTCCCCTTATCCTCCCCCACAGTCAACAGGGCTTTGGCCAGCAATACATTTTGGATTTGATTAGAAAGCAACGTATATCCTATGAAATTCAGGCAGGCAAGCACAGCAACGCTGGCAAGTCAAGCATGTGGTCTCAGGCCCTGACAGCAAGTCAAATATATCCCCCCACTCCCTTACTGGCCTTAAAACTCCTCATTTAGGGTCAGAGACAGCAAGAGTGAGCAACACCAAAGTAAGTACTCATCTGGCTCTTCTGCAGTAGAGCACGGGGCCATTTCATTTGGTTTCTGCACAGCAGCTACCAGAGCTCCCAGTAACCATCGTGAATTTATGGGCTTGCTTTAAAGTGTAAAAATATGCTTATTCCCAACATTACTTTTATTAAGAGAAAAGAGATGAAAAATTAATTCATTAGCCCCACCTAAAGCCCCTTCCCAAGTGTTGGCTCTTGCCTCAGCCTCTGTCCCCACAAACATTACCTGCCTCCCCCCCAGAGGGCTCCTCCTGTCTTCCTCATTTTTAGGGTGGAGGCTAATAAGCTCCCCAACCCTAGTAAGTCAGGATTAATTAACCTGAACATCCCTGCAGGCTTCCAACACCTGCTAATTGAGAGAATCTAGCCAGGCTCTCACGGTGCTTTTTTTTTTTTTTTTTCTTTTTTGCACACAGCAAGTTTTAGCACCTGGAATAAGGGAAGGTTACAAGCCCTGGCTTTGCCTGGGTGCTTTACAGTGAAGGAGAGAAAGAAAGTGGGGGTGGAAATTATATTTTATAGGGATCTGTTTTAGGTTTATTTTTTCATTTCAATTTAGACCAGCAACCTCTGCAGCATGGGAGGGGCATCTGCTAGTAAGCACCTCTGCTGCACGCCGTTATCACCTTTCTGAGGCTGGGGGAGGCACTTTTAGCTAAGTTCTGCCTCTCTGCTAATGGGTACTCCTCTCTCATGGCTGTGGTTGCCATCTGTGGCAAATGTTGTAGAGCATGTAGTCAATCACTGTGAGATGCAGTTATCTGGTGCAACAGCTCTCTAGGGACTGATTTAGGACCACTACAGTAAGGACAGTTAGAGCAAATTGGATTTTTTCCCTCCCAACCTGGGTTTTCAGATGTGACAAGGCAGCATTGCTTTAGTAACCTAGCTGTGTTCATCCATGCTCCCTGTTACAGAGGAAGAGTTTTTTTTTTTTCTTGGTGTTGAATCACAGCTTAGTGGGGGTTGTTTCCTGCCAGTTCCTGAACAAGAGCCAAGTGGCCTTCCTTGCCTGCTGGAATTTTACAGCATTCACTGAGCAGGGTGCCACCTCACTAAATGCTGGCATTTTTTATTTCAGTGAACACTTCTTGGTATCTCCACTAGTAAATGACTAATTTTCAGTGGACTGGGCAAACCAGAAAAAAAAAATCCCTGGCACCATTCTTCAGTGACGCATTCAAGTGGATAAACCTTCTACAAATGTACCCTCACAGCTAACAGGACACTAGCAAATAGCTTCTGTGCAGAACAATGAAGATGGTGTTTTGCTAGCTCCCCTCCCACAAGAACCTCGGCCACAGTTGGAGAATTGTCACCACCCAATCCTTTCCTGCCCAGGCATTCAGCTCTGTCTTGGTACCAGCTTTGGTGCTCTCTGGGTCCTCCCTGCAGCTGGATAAAAACTGGATGAAAACATAGAGCTGTTTTCTGCTAGTGCTTTGGCCCAACACCTACCAGGCCACGAGGGAGAAGAAATGGTTGGGAAGATGTTTTATCACAGTAGAGCAGGAGCTTCAGTCTGTCTGCCAGTGCCACTCACCAGCCACAAGTCCTTTTTCACAGCACCTTTTGGGGAGAGATGAGAAACAAAGGCCCAAGGGGAGCTTAAATAACATGCCAAAGGTCATAGTACAACAAACCTAGATTTTCTCACAAGTTTTGCTGGAGTGTTTGTAGCAGGTTTCTGTGGGTAGGTTTTAATAGTGGGAGGGGGTTACAGGGTGGCTTCTGTTAGAAGCTGCTACAAGCTTCCCCTGTCTGGTAGAGCCAATGCCAGCTGGCTCCAGGATGGACTTCCTGCTGCTGGCCAAGGCCAAGTCAATCAGGAGTAATGGTAACACCTCTGTGCTACCATATTTAAGAACAGAAAGGTATTGCACAGAAAGAATTCCAGCCAGGGAAAAGCAGAGTGAGGACATGGGAACAAGGTAGACACCAAAGTCAGTGCAGAAGGAGGGCAGGAGGTGCTCCAGGCACCGGAGCTGAGGCCCTGCAGCCCATGGAGGACCATCAGGGTGCAGAGACCCACTTGCAGCCCATGGAGGAGCCCATGCTGGAGCAGGTGGATGCATGAGGGAGGCTGTGACCCCATGGGAGGCCCGATATGGAGCAGGGTACTGCCAGAGACCTGTGGCCCATGGAGAGGAAGCCCAACTGGAGCAGGTTTTTCTCAGGTAAGACTTGAGGTCCCTGTGGCAGCCCCATGCTGGTACAGCTCATTCCTGAAGGACTGCATCCCATGGAGGAGTGACCCATTGGACAGCAGTTTGGGAAGAACTGCTGCCCGAGGGATTGAGTCACGCTGGAGAGATCCATCAAGGACTGTCTCCCGTGGGAGTGACCTCACGGGAGCAGGGGAAGGACTCCTCTCCTGAGCAGCAGCAGAAACACAACCCCCATTCCCTGTCCCCCTTTACTGCTGGGGGGGAGGAGGGAGAACATGGAAGGAAGGAGGGGTGGGAGGGAGGTGTTTATAAGATTATTTTATTTCTCACTCTTTGGGTCTTATCCTATTAGTAATAAATTTAAGTACTATCCCCACTTTGAGTCTGTTTTGCCCAGGAAGGTAATCAGTAACTGACCTCTCCCAGTTGCTATCTCAACTCATGAATCCTTAGCTGTTTTTTTTTATTCTCCTCTGTCCTGTTACAAAGGGAGAGTGAGAGAGTGGCTTTAGTGGGTCCCTGGCATGCAGGGTCAACCTGCTACAGTGTTGTCTCAGTGAAACCAAAAATTACTTGTATGCTATATTCGTTTGGCTAATCCTGTGCTTTAGATAATGCACAGCTTGGCTCCATATGTGACCCACTCCCAGGGCAAAGGAATGTGTTTCAGAGAGCAGAAATTATTTTATGTCATGGCCATTGATCCTTTGCATTCTGCAGTTGTTCCCTGAGGATCTCCACGAGAATAAGTGCTCCATCTTTATCTGTCTCAAAGATCTTTGAGAGGCCGAAAACTTGATTGTACTGTTCACAGTACCACTTCAAAACCAGACCAGAGAGCATCCTCCAGATTAGCATGGAAAATCACACAGTCCAGGCAAGGGTGGTGGTGGCTCCTGACAACCACAGTGGCTCCAGCAGGGTCCTTAGAAGAATGCTTAAAATGCTCCATCTACCTGCAAACAATCATGACAAAGGCTTTAAGAAACGCGGCTCTGGAGCAAGAAGGACCACATGCAATAACATCTGCATGAATATCAGAGGCTTCATTCCCTCAGAGACCCTAGACTTGTAGATACATCTGCTTGTGCCTGGTCACTCCTTTCTCCTCACTTCACACATAACCTCCCTCCTTTTTTTTTTTATCCCATCTGCCGGCATCAGAGCAAATCTCCTTTTGTATGGAGAGCAGCTGCCCCTTCCCTACCACTCACCCATCAGCCACAATATCTTTTCCATCCTAAATGATTCCATGATTCTATATAGCTGTTCTTTCACTAGCAACTGAAGGCTAGTATCAGAGTAATGGTTTTCCCCATGAAGTCCCTACCTGCTCTCCCACTCACAGTTTCCCTGTGAAACATCATTCTTAGCATCCTGTACTTGGCTTGCCTAAAGGCTGCCGCTCTTTAACTACAAGACATGCTTCTAGCATTCCTGGGAAGCAAATTACAATCATGCTGGCAGCTGCCCTCTGCCCCTGTCTATTGAAATAGCTCAAGATGATGCCAGCAGGCCCTGGACTGCATTAGGAAGAGGGTCACCAGAAGGTCGAGGGAGGTGATTATTTCCATCTGTTCAGCACTTGTAGACAGACACATCAGGGTGCTGGGTCCAGTTTTGAGCTTCCCAGTACAACATAGACAGGAACTTTCTGCAGTAAGTCAGTGAAGGGCCATGAAGATGATGAAGAGACTGGTGCATCTGACATCTGAGGAGAGGTTGAGAGAGCTGGGATTGTTCAGCCTGGAAAAGAGAAGGGTCAGGGGTATCTGACCTTTGTATATGAATACCCAGTGGGGTGACTAGAGAAGATGAAGTCAGACTCTAAGTGGTGTCCAATTAAAGGACAAGAGACAATTGGCATAAATGGAAATACAAGAAATACCATTTCAACATTAAAAAAATCCCAGACTACTTTACTAAAAGGGTGACCACCCAGATGGGTTGTGGAGTCTCCATCCTTGGGTATACTCAAAATCCAGTCCTAAGCAGCCTGCACTAGCTGTCTGTGCTCTGACCAGGCATCAGACTAGACAATTCCCAGAGGTGCCTGCCTCTCACCATTCTGTGATCCTCGTTGCTGATTCACATGACCTGTGGTTAAGCCCACTATCCTTATCCTCAACCATCTTGATGAAATGGTGTTTTGCACTCCAGGGCGAAGGAACAAATTAGCTCTTCTAAAGCAGATACTCAAGAGATACCTGAGCAGCTGACAAATGCACACCTGATATGGAAGTAGATGAGGAAAAATCCATAGGGTGTTAAATCCAGACAAGGCATGTGGGATTCCTCCCATCTAACTCTGGACATTTGCAGTGTAACCATTTATGCCTGAGTTATGCATCTCCCTTCTGAATCAGAGTCCCTTTTGGCTCCCTTTTGAATCAATACAGAGAAATAGGCATTTCCAAAAAGTGATTCATGTGACCTATTTCACATGAGATGAATCATGGCCAAGAACTACCTTTCTCTGATGACTATTATGAAGAGAGAGAGATGTGAAGAGGTCAAGTTTGGAATTCTACACTGTATACATCTTATGGCATTTAGGATGATTCCCACCTCTGATACTTGTGCAGAAGTCTATCTGCTACTGCCTCGAGTAAATTTTTACACACCATAAAATGCAGTCAAATTTGATGAATGTCTCTTCAACTACAAAGAGGACTAAACAAATAGACAACTGAAAAGGACAGGCAGAGCACTGAAGATTAAAAGTTCATACAAACAACCTAAGGGCTGGATGAAATCCTATTTTATTATTCCAAGAGTGAGTCTGTTAGGGGTACAGATCAAGGGCACTTTTTAAGTAAAGATGGGACTTTTTAAGTAAAGATGGGACTTCATCTGGTGCATTGGACCAAAGTCAAGGGCCCTAAACCCAACCCTACATATTCCTTGTGTGGCTGGGCTCCTCAGAGTCCAGGAGAATCTAGAGAACTATCACTTGATCAGTCCATGCTACTGTCTCTGGGGTGAACAGAAGAGAGTTGTGGACAAGGCAGTTTGGGAAGGATATATCTTAGGTCATTCCTTGCAACTGTTATTCTATATTTCTTTGCATACATCCATCAACAGGATCTTATCAGGGCAGATCTTTGCCTCATCACACTGTTGATTGAACTTCCTTACGTATAAACTATCCTTGGCCTGAAAGGACAAGCAGCGGTGACATGCCCTGTGCTGGGTCAAGTGCTTGAAGGGCACTGCAAGAATACACAACCTGTCTTGTCCTGCCTTTTGAAATATGATGAGGCAACACAGCATAAAACTGTTTTCCCTTTTTGCACTGTCTGGCATGCATCTAGACAGCATCTGGACAGAAGACTGATCAAACTTGGCAGAGGTGGTTTGGCTATGCAGAATGATGCCTGCACACACCGTAGGAAGCCAGACTGCATAAACACACAATGGTGGTATCGGTGCTGGGGCACAGTGTAGTCCTGGGTGCCTTAGACAGTCAGTCTAGGAGCTTGACCTTGATGTTGTTCCAATGTAATGTTCTGTGAAAAGGCACTATGGCTCCAGATTTCATCAGACAAGTAATCTTTTGGCAAAATGCTTAGCCCCGGGATTTTTCAAGGGAAGCCACAATCTTAGAGAGCTGCATCATTTTGGGATGTTAACAGTGTAGAAAAACAAAGGATTCAGAAAGAGTATATAAAGTCAACCACTAGAAAAATAACATACCAAATATGAATGAAAATATCAAATCAGGTACATCAAATCCCAAACTAGTTCCTGGTACAAAAGAACTTGTGACCTCTGATTTCTCAGTATTTCGATAAAGACAATAATGCTTTTGTTTTTCTGAAGTGCTCAGAGATGTTACACAATTATATAAGATTTAGGTGTTATTAAGTATTAGATATTAGCTGTTGTCCTATAAAATGTACTATGCAAACAAGGTGGAAACTGCCATGGGATGCAGGGAGAAGGTTGATATTTAAATATAATTTTACATCTTTCCAGTGTAAAATTCCATCATTAAAAAATCATACAGTGTTTCTGTCCTATGTTATTATAGTGGTGAGAGGAAAGTGACTTACAAAATGCTTGATGCTGGCCCTTATTTAAAACTCAGTAACTTCACCAATTTGGTATTGCCCTTTCAACATATGAAAATATATCTTCATGTTTTCTTCCAGCAGAGGTGAGTGAACACCAAGACGGGGCCTTTCTTTCTCTACTGCACACGTGTCCACCTTTGCATGATCTCCACCATTTCTTGCACTGGCATGATTCCATCTAGGTCAAGAGTGGTCCAGCTGCAGAGGTTTCTACCCCCAACTTTGACAAAATTGAAGTGCAAGGGAAAACTATTTTGGTGACATCACATTCATCCTCAGTAAGATGAATTTCAGACCCTAGCATTAGTGTAAGTTTAGCCTTTCTCCCCTGGAGGCAATCAAGGACTTGTTCAGGAGGGGAACTGCAGGCAGAGTACATCTGGCAGTGTCCTAGGGAACTCTACAAAGCCTCTTGCCAAGTACTTAGGATCTGATCTGTGGACACGCCCTTGTTCAGAAGTGTGCATTTGCATGCCATTAATGTCCTACCACCTTTAGTACTTTAGCTGTCTTCTGAACTGGGACTTCCTCCTGTGGTATATGCCTTCATCTCATAATTCCTCCTTATGCATTTACACCTAACTCAAATAACGGCTCCAGTCTGGGCTTGTGAGAGGAGGGAGCAACAATGATCAAAGCAGCAGAAAAAGTTTTCAAAGTGCTGTTGGGAAATCATGTGCTGTTTTTCTATTCTTTGTATAAATTTTCCTGCTTTTTCCATTTCAGGGCTACTTGAGCCAAGGGCAAATTGCCTATTCACCATTGCCTAACAACGTATTTTTTTCCGATGATGACTGCTTACAGTAAGAACACAAGCCTTAAATGTGAGAAGTTGGTCATCAGAGCTTCCATGCAGTTTCAAAAGAAGAGCTACACTAATTCACAACAGTCCCTGGGACTTCACTTTGCTAGTCAAATGGGTAAATAGCTTTCAAAATATGCATGATTGCACAGCTGAAAATCTTAAAAACTGGCATTGCATGAAAAAGCATTGCCTGGCTGCATGGGATTCATCACACCAGTCCAAGATGTCTTCAGTGCAGGCATCAGCCTCCGAACTAACCATGCCTTCTTAGTCAGTGTTAAGATACCATTTCTCTTTGCTACTTCATCTCTCTGATTAATGATGAGATAAACCTGAAGGTTCCTCCTGAAGACACTTACTTCTTTCAGTAAACTATTAAAGGAAGCTTAGGTGATCAGCTTAGATATAGGCATGCAAAATGGATGGATGAATCCCACATGTTTTATCTGCAGATAATAGCTCTCTGTAGACCCTCTTTATTCAGTATTTCTGTTACGACCAGAAAGCCCCTAAAAACCCCCACATTTCAGAGGAAAAACATATTTGTATTGATTAGGAATACAAAGGAACATATTCACTAGAAGTACTTCAGTTACACTGAGGAGCTTTACCAAACTGCTGTCACAGCTGCCCTGATATTTGGCTTACTTAAAACCAGATCACAGAGGGTAAACGTACCAGACAGAGGAACCCCCTGTTAAATTAGCAAGATCTAGAAAAGGACAGAAGATGCCCTTGCAAGCCAAACCCTAATATAAAGCTAAAACACTTTGCCTCACATCAAAATCCAGTAATGCACCATAACATTCAACCTTTTGTTATATTTTGTTGGCAATATTTTGTTTAAAAAAAAACAAAACGTGGAAGATTATCTGTGTCAATGAGCAGACCTTTTCATTTTAACCATCTATACACTGCATGGTGATGTCAGCCTAGAGGCTTTGGTATTTCTATTGGCATGTCAGCAGCAGTCCCATGAGATCTTGGTTTTGCTGTTGGCATTAACTTAAGGAGTTGTCACTGCCATTTCACCACTTCAGTCTCCCACTTCCTCCTCTTTGCTGATGGCCTCCTCGGTGATGCCACTGCCGGGAATCAGAACTGATTTTCTCCTTCTGGGGGAGTGTTATTTTTTGGCCAGTGTGAGGCTTAGTCCTGCAAACACTTGTTCCGGCAATAGGAGTTGCCCAAGGAGAGGTGTGAGGCCAGGTACAAGGCACCAGAGAAGGGAGAAGAGGGAACTTTTAAAGTTAGCTTCACTGACAAAGCCAGAGTTTCCTGATATTATGTCCCCTACGGACCTCATGCTGCATAAAATGAAAGGGAAACTTAAATCAATTAAGCCTATGTATTAATTGTGGAAATCCTTACCTGGTTCTACATTTCCTTCAAGAGCACTGGGTTTTAATTTTTCATTTGAAAGGATAGTTAATTTTCGCTTAAACATTTTTTCCCTTTCTTTTGCATTTTGGTGATAATTCACTCTTCATTTTAGAGTTACTTTCAAAACGTAGCTTCCCACTTATTGTAAGATATAACACAAAATGAAAATCCCTTCAACATTCAAATAAAAGTGACTTGGAAACTGAAGAAGAAAGCTTTCAGAAGACAGACTTCAATAGCCTTAATGTTTGTTTAAAATATATGCCTTGCACTTAATTTTGACTTCTATAATTTACCTCACTTAAGTCACAGTCCTCAAAGATTTATGAATTCACAGGGAGTTTGCACAGTGCATGAAGTTCAACATGGGGATAAATTTGCAGGATTAAAGGCAGCTATACTCAGACCAGGGGCACTGGGGGAATTCAGACTATCACAGCTTTTTTGCAGAAGCCCAGTGTTTGCAGAAGTGCATTGGCTTC